CTTAGAGTGATGTTGGGTCTGGCCCTGTGGGATACGAAAAGCCAACTAGTTAAGTATCCAGATTTAGGATACTGGATTATCGGGAGGGATACCAAATTTTAAAACCTTGGTATCCATGTGGATACTTAAAAAAAAAAATCAAATTTCAGACCCTGCATGTATAAATTGAAATGTAAGTGGGGTAATTAATTTCTTTGCTAGTCAACGAGATATTGTGATTTACACATGCTCTGAATTCATTTTCACATTGGCTGTGTGCATCACTGGACTAACTTTCAAAACATTAAACACAGCACAAATTTATTATATATATCCAAGAACAGTCGTTTAATGTTTGACAGGGACAATTTTGTACTTATCCGGCTTAATTTAATTACCCTGGTCATTATGAACGTCAAGTTTCTATAATTACTGGCCATGTTCAATAACTGATATAGAAAAACTGATAAAATGGACATAACCAGTCCATTGTGAGTTGTGACTTAACCAATCCAGTGGCCGCACTCTCCCCTTGAGAAGTAAAACTGTATGGCATTAGGCAGACTAAAATAACAAAATAGGGCACATTAGGGCACTTCAGACCGTATGACTTCATCTTTTTTTCAATCCGTTTTTCTCAAATCCATGTTGCTGTTTTTATTTAGGCATAGATTTCAAAATCAAAACCATTGAACTAGAAGGGAAGAAAATCAAGCTTCAAATATGGTAATGTTTTTGAAATAACAGGGTGTTAGCTACAGTAAAAAATTCTGCGTTAAATGCTGTTTTCCCAATTACCTTGAGGTCACAATTTCTCAATTTGGGTCAGCCAAAAAATAGTTGTAGAAATTCAATGTTGTTAATACACCATTAAAAACATGTTTATAACTACATTTGCTTAAAATTACTCCCAAAATGCAGGAAATGTCATTTCAAACAAGGGGCAACTGCATGCCCCCAGACCCACAAAGATATGCCCGACTTCAGGCTAAAATAAATTTCTCAATTTCAGGTAAACACGGATTTTTTTTACTTCTGGCTAACACTCTGAATAACTAAATCATAGTCTTATGATAAGATCTTTGATATAAATGTTTTCTGACATAAAACTGATGATTATTTTCCAGGGACACAGCCGGACAAGAGCGTTTCCATACCATAACAACGTCATATTACAGAGGAGCAATGGTAAACATTTGAAATCAATCAGCTTGAAGCTGATAAATGTATTTAATATAATAATAATAATTAACATAATAAATTACAGCTAATTATGGTGATTTCTAGCCAAGGCTAAATGACATGCGTTAAAGATTTGTCATACTTTCCAGAGTGCAATAATGTGCAATAATAATTGGAGTACCAGTGAAGTGTGGCTGAAAATCTTGAATTATCGCACCCTACGTTTTTTCCTCATACAGCAGGGGGTGTGACCTGGGACAAATTTTGTAATTCTTCCAAAACTGAGGAGAAACTGGGGGGGGGGGTGTAACCTCCCTATGCTTTCATCTATGACATAAGATATGCTAAATCTGTGGCCTTTCAGATTATCATAAAACGTCTCTAAAATGCACGAAGTAGTGTTTGCAGTCCCTAAAAATAGAAACATTTTCATGCCCAGATGAAAATGGGCCGATGGCCAGACCCCCTAATTGTTCTGTGTATTTGACAGGGTGTCCACAGACCTTGAAAATCCTGGAAAGTCCTTGAATTGGAAAAACAAATTCCAGGACTGGAATTCTGGAAAGTCCTTGAAAATCAGGAGAAGTTCTTGAAAGTCCTGGAATTAATTTCCTTAACCTCCAGCTGTGCCAACATTAGTGATTTTGATTAAAATTACTGGATAAAGTGAATCATTTGCTGGGCAAATCGCCAAATACGTGCCATTTTCAAAGATTTTTCCCAGTTCTAGGTCCTTGAATTTACTGAAAAAGGACCTTGAAAGTCCTGGAAAAGTCCTCAAATTTCACCTTCACCAAAAGGCAGACACCTTGATTTGACAATTAAACCACCACCCCACTCGTTTGGGGCTGGTTTAGCCCCTGTCGTACAGTGATTGATCCCAAGAAATACATTATGTTCCATTGTTCCATTGTGAGTTGATTCTCAATGTAATTCATTTTGTTTTGTGTATAGGGCATCATGTTGGTATATGACATAACACAAGACAAGTCATTTGAAAATATTTCAAAATGGTTACGGAACATTGAAGAACATGCCAACGAAGATGTGGAAAAAATGATCTTAGGAAATAAATGTGATATGGAGGATAAGAGAGTCGTTTCAAAGGATCGAGGAACCAGTGTAAGTGTGCTTGGGGGGAAATAGTTTCGGCTGTTCAGGCGGTACAGTGGTTGTGCATGTGTCCTCAGGGATGGGACTGGGGATGCATGGGGATTTACTGGGGGTGCATGGGGATGCACACTCCTCCTAACTTTGGCAAAAGGCAAAAAAATTATGTGGGTTTCCGGTTTCTCGACCCTACCTAGCTTTTGGACGCCGAAATCCCGACCCTAAACTTTTTTGTTGGATCATGCTTGTAAGTGTTTCCACTTAGAGGAAAACGTTTGTGAAAAATGGAAATTTGTGGCAATATTAGGGAAATTTATCTTTGAATGCGGAAGCACTGACTAAACAAAATGGCGTCCGGTTGTTAGGAAAATAAAAAAACAAGTTTAAAAAAAAAAGTTAAAACTGACCTACCCTACCTAAGTTTTTACAAGAAGAAATAGGAAACCCACATGTTTTTTTTTTGGCCTAACATGACTGTGAAATTGTCAAGCAAGACTACAGATTAGCACCTTGCTGCCTTAGTTCCCTCTCGTGATTATTTACACACTTAGCAGTCCTCGCAATTTTTCGCGGGAAAAGGCAATTGCCGCTGATAATGCCGTCGTTTTTTTTTGCCGCAGACAAGTTTTTGTGGTCACATTGCCTTCTCAATTCGAATAATTCTTCTAAGTATGAACAGATGATTATAATGATGATTATTTGATGATCGCTGGTCCCAATGTATGTGAAAGTGAAACAATGTTTTCTCGAATATCAAACACATTTTGTCAGTAGAGTCAAGAGAATTCTGTAAAAATAATTCAGTTCTAATCTCTATCAAAGACACTAGCAACAACTAAATACATATAATACATTATTATGCTGATGCATCTTCAAATTGTCATTTAAAGACAAAAATATTGCCGCCAAACCTGGAAGTATCGACGGCAATTTTTTGCCTACAAGGATCGATCAAAATTGTGAGGACTGCTTAGTCAATGGTTGCACCCCAAAATATGACCAAATCTTGATGAACACCCCACCCCGCCACCCCATCACCACCACTCTCCTTCTCCCCACTGTTACCCTTTCCCTCATCACTACCAATTCCCCCCTCCCCCACCCCACCCTGACATAGTAATATAATAAGGAACATATTTGCATGTAGTATGAGAAATTTCTGGTTAACAGGTTAAATAGGTTTGTTTCATAGAAATATTTGCTGTGCTGAGTGGTTATATTACTACCTTAAAAAATAAGCAGAAACTCGACGTTTCGAGCGAAGGCCCTTCGTCTAACTCTTGACGAAGGGCCTTCGCTCGAAACGTCGAGTTTCTGCTTATTTTTTAAGGTAGTAATATAACCACTCAGCACAGCATTTCTACATTGGTACTGCCGACACTGGTACAGACAGTTTTAGTTTGTTTCATAACCTTTTTAGATCGCTCGGGAACATAGTATTCGCTTCTTAGAAACCAGTGCGAAGGACAACGTGAATATCGAAGATGCTTTTTACATGCTTGCACAGGACATTCTTAAAAAACAACTTCAAAATAAATCCTCGAACGCGGATACTCAAAACACCGTACCAATCAAGACTCAAAACAAAGATTCCGGCGGCTGTTGTTGAAATTTTGGCAAAATGAAGAAGCGGCGAAGACATTTTGTATTTTCAACCTCTGAAATTCTCCCACTCTCCTACAGGGGACCTCTAGTTGTATAAAAAAGTAGAGGTGTTTGCCTTTCAAAAGATTTTTAATATAAAATTAGGTTGTGAAGACATAATAATTCTGATCGTTGAAGGACAGCAATGTAATTATAAAAAAATACTAACTTAAACTTTGCTTTAGAGGGTAGTAGATGTAGAAAAATCCTTGCCAAATTTTAGGATACCAACTCTCTTTTTAGCCTGTGAACTACCGCCGAACTACCAGTTGCAACAAGTTTTTTGTCAATCCCATATCAGGATGTGTTCGCACTGCTTGTTCCCAGCTGTTGCGACTAGCTGGAAGACCAATACTGTTCGTAACAAGTTACTATACAAAGTTGTTGTCGTCAACTTGTTGCGTGCAGACGATATCAGACATGTTGGAACACCTTGTTGCGAGTCTGTTGGCCTCATCAACCTTGGCGTTGCAAGATGATAACAAATTGTTCCAGGCTTGTCAACAACTGGGAACAAGCAGTGCGAACACATCGCATCTTGTCAACAAGATGTGTTTGCAACGGGCTTGTAGCAAGCTTGTCGACAAGTTGTAACAATGTTCTCGTTTTATCAAGTTGCTACAAGGTTGGTTTTCGATAGTTTTGCCCCGTTTTTTTCGCCTATTGATTGGCTTTGTAATAATGTATAGTCTCCAATTATGCTGAGACACTCCTTAAATAAAGTAATGGTATAATTTAGTGAACAAGTATTAGTAAATATGTATTTTTCTACACTATGTATATGGTATTTTAGTGTCTGATTTAATGAACATAGTCTTCTTTTACAATCAAAATGTTGTGAAATCTGTTATGTATTAATATCATCGTCTTATATCGCCCTCATCACTTAAACACTGCAGTTTCCAAATAGCGAGAAGTGTGTTGAAAAACAAAACGCTAGAGATTTAAACCAATTTTGAAGTGGTTCGAAATATGATAACAGTTTTTGGATGCACATAAAGCGATTGAAAGGTTGATTAAGCACAATGCATTGCGGTGTCAAGATGGTATGAAAAGGTCTATTTATGATTAATGGACCTCTTGTCAATATAACATAAAGTTTAGAGGCTGTCACTGACCAAGTAACTTTGCTCGCTGGCGACTACATGCTATGTTTATTAAATACTGTTGACTTTGTGACTGTTGATATGCGAAGGAAGTTACTTGTGTACAAACTCTATTTTAATATTAGGTAAGTGGATACATTTCTGAATGAACTTGACATCATGATGTACGTATTATTGCATTTATTTTTTTGCAAAGAAAAACTCAAAACTACCAACATTTCCAATATGTTTCAAACAATCCCAAGCTAATAATGTTCCCCGAGGTCCCCGGCCCTGAAATCGGGGTTGCTAGGTTTGCTGAATAATTAGGTCAAACACCGTCACGCTAGGCCTTTGTTTTTTTTGTCTTGGCCTTTTGTTTTCTTTGTTTTAATGACGGTTTGGCCTAATTATTCATCTAACTTGGATAGGGACGAGGTCAATAAAATTTGAACCCCTAAGAAAAAAAAGATCAAAGTGCAGACACAAACACCCCCCCCCCAAAAAAAAAAAATTAAGAAATTTTTGCCTTACCCCTCAGAAAAAATGCAAAGATCAAAGGATGCCGATGCACACAACCCCTCAGAAATGGCTTTTTCAAACCCCCTCAGAAATTCTCGTCTATAAGGGGGGGTGTACATTAAATGGAATGTCCCCTTACCAACCCTGCCTAAAATCACTGTGGTTGTGAGGTTCCCTCCCCCCTTTCCATGAAATTCATTCTCTGTTGGCACCAGTAACATTCCTCACCACTTATGCTTAATTTGATACATTATAATTACAATGTTTTATAAATTTGTTGATAGAGCTTTTAAACTGGCCTGACTGGAAAGTTTGGAAACTGTGCGCCAGAGATTTCAAAAATTTAATAGTAATTATATGGAAAGTGTCAAAATTGTGCGCCAGAGATATCCGCCGCGCGATACAAACTTTCCCAACTGGTAAACTGGCATCAGAGAAAATCCTTGCCCTAATCATAAATCAACAATCTCAATATTGAACCATTAGACATTTAGTGATATGGACGAGAAGAAAAGAAAACATTCACCTTGCATAATCGTCCATGGAGGTGCATGGTCAATACCTGACCATTTACTTGAAGCATATTATACTGGGATACAAGAGGCAGTGAAGGCAGGTTATGAGGTCCTGAAGAATGTAAGCATAAATGGACAACTTGCATGTTAGACTAAATTTTAATCTAAGTAAAGAGAAGGGAATAAAACACAACGGTTAAAAAGAAATTAATGAAATTAGTAAAATTGCAAAATTTGGTTGCGAATTGTTGAAAAATACAGAAAATATAGCCTTGCAAAGTTGGCATATTTTCAGTATATTTATATTACGTGCAGAAATTGTTACCATTTTCGGCTCAAAAATGGTAACAATTTCCACACATAATATAGTATACTGAAAATATGCAAATTTCGCAAGGCTATATTTTCTGTATTTTACAACATTTCGCAAGCAAATTTTGCAATTTTACTAATTTTAATAAGTTCTTTACGGGAATTTACTTTTTTTTGCCTAGATCAAAAATTAGTCTAACATGCAAGTTGTCTATATCTGCATGGTACATACCTAGTACCGTACTTTTAATTTCTAGTACATACCTAAGTACCTTACTTTTAGCAATATCTCGGATTTGAACTTTTCAAGAGAATGGTTTTGAAGACCATTGGGGGGGGGGGTGAACTCCACCCTTGGCTATGCTACTGTTCTCTGAGCACCAGCGGTCAAGTCTTACCAGTGCTCCTCCCTCCTGATAAACACGGAAATATTTGCATGCATGAACACAGAAATATTATGAACACGGAAATATTTGCATAGCATGACCAAATTAATTGTCGGGCTGGCTTTGCCACTGATCCCCACCTAAATGTGCTTGGAAAACATATGCCCCCCTTTAAAGAACATAATAGAATATTGATGGTTGCTATTGATCATTTAACCATGCAAGGGTGGTACAGCGTTGGATGCAGTAGAGAAAGCTGTGAACAGTATGGAGGACAATCCAAGCTTCAATGCAGGTCATGGAGCTGTTCTCAATGAGATTGGCCAAGTGGAATGTGATGCAATGATCATGGATGGATCAACTTTAAATTCAGGTCTATTGAGTAATTGCTTCCATAATAATATCCAAATGCACCATGATAAAAGTTTGCGAAGCCTGCAATATTTCTTGGTGCACATGTTCAAACACGCATCAAGGTGATGCGAACGAGATGTTGCATGATATGGCATAATTATCAACTCGTTGGTAGACGTTGGTCAAATTATCATGGATTGTAAAATAACAATTTTACAATCCAGGTTCAAATGCGGGCTCAAGTTGTCAGGGGGCATCTTACACAAAATTACCAGCTCTGTATCAAACGCAAAGCAGGGCATAGGTCTCCGGTTTTTAGCTCGGTCAAAATCTGTTTTTTGACCGGTCATTGAATTTAGTGATACGCTAGCCTTAGTCGATGTTAAAAATTGCCGTAGAACGTAACAGCTGTCTACGGCAATTTTGGCAGTTTCCACGGCATTTTCAAATTACTGTGATAAAACTTTATTGTTACTTTGGATTTATGACAAGCTAGAAACATGTCTACGTACTTCTTTAGTGTTTTTTTTTCGAAGAAAACTGAGACTAAAATAGTGATTTACGCATGATTTGATCAACATCTGAATTCAAGTATCAAAGTAGTAATGCACAGTGAATAGTATAAAAATTGCACTACACGGCAAAAAATTGCCGTCGTTGCCGCAGTGATCCACGGCATTTTGTTCTCCCTCTACGACAATTGCCGCGATAAAATTCGAGCCCTGACGCTTACACTAACTGTGAAACAAACTATTAGAAACTTGTTTCGATACATCGTAGTTTCATGTTTTAATTCAAGACGTCAGCAATCACATTGGAAGGGATGAAAATGTGGCTGGTCAAGATGAGGTGGAAAAGTGTCA